CCCCGCCCGGTCCCGGGTGGGGAAACTGCCCCTTCCCGCTGGGCGGCCCAGCGCGGGAGGGTCGTGGGAGCCAGGGGCCCTGCTTCCCGGGTGAGCGCTTCCCCTTGGGACAGGGAAACCCGTTTGGCAGGAGTTCGCCCCAGGTCCGAGGGTGCACGCACCCTAGCCTCTTGCTCAGTAGCCCTTCCCTGTTCCAGACCCAAGGCCAGGAAGACAAATTAAGGGCACTTAAGGTGACTCCAACGCCCTAAGTCAGCCGGTGACTGATGGGAAGAACTCAGCCCAGAGAAGGCAGGGTGTCTCAGCCATCAACACTGGGTGACCTTGGGAGGGGCTCTCAGTCCTACTAACCAAGTGGAACCACCTCCAAGTACACGTGTATTGGGGGATTCTACCCCAATGGACTGTCTCCAATTGCCCTAGACCCTCTCTCCCTCATTGCAGCAAATGTATCACGACGTATCCCAAAGATGAAAGCAGTAGCTATCATTGAGCACTTACGATGTGACAAGCACTTTTAAGCACTTTAAATATATTAAGAATAGCCTTATGAGATAGTACCTATTAAACTAAGACAGAAGGGGGTAAAGCATGGTTTGGACCACAAGCAGCTCCGTCTCAGGCCAGAAGATGTGCTCCATTCATTCTCCCTGTTGTCTCTTCCTGGGTTGTTGGTTGGCTACTTAGCATGTATTTCACCAAAGCACTGAAACCTACCTCACTTCTGCCACCTTAATGTAGCCATCCTTCCAAAGAAAAAAATCTCTCTGGCCCTAGATGGTTTTGCTCAGTAGTTAGAGCATCAGCCCACGGACCAAAGCATCCCGGGTTCTTTGTCAGTCAAGGGCATGTACCTTGGTTGCAGTCTTGATCCCCAGCCAGGGTCAGGGTACTCAAGGGAGGCAACCAATCGATTTTTCTCTCACATTGATGTTTCTCTCTCTCCTCTCTCCCTCCCCCCATCCACTGAATAAGCAATGGGAAAAATATCCTCAGGTGAGGATTAATAAAAAAACATGTTTAACTACTGGAATCCCTCCGATGCAAGCAATGGAATTAGCAGTGAATGCGGCTGGCTTATTCATTCAACAAGCACTCATATGTTTGGCCAGAAGGGTAAAGATTAAAACAAAACCAGCCCCCTTGCTTTTAGGGATCTCAAAACTTGACTGCAACTGGTGGAGAGGGGATTGGGCCCAAAATCAAGGGCTGTGGGAGGCCCTTGGTTAATTCTTATGCATTCCAGGATGAAAGCAACAAGGTCAGAGAGGCATCATGACTCATTTTACCTCTACCCCAATCCCTATACAACACTAAGACTTGAAAAAACAAGAGATCAAAGAAATGCCACCAACTACAAAAATTAAATCTCATTAATCGTCTGCTGTTGCCCACTTGCAATCTGATTAAGCAGTAGAAAGCCCATAAAATTCACTCCATCCCCAGTGCACAGAGGTACTGACTGCCACTACCTGTCTGCTGCCCACCAAGTATTATCAACATGTAGACACAAAGCTCTAAGCATGTGTTTATTGAACTACTGATTCAGCCTTTTACTTTTTTATTTTTTAATATATCTTCATTGGTTTCAGAGAGAGGAAGGGAGAGGGAGAGAGAGAGAGAAACATCAGTGAGAGACTCATTGGTTGAGCCCACAACCCGGGCATGTGACCTGACCGGGAATCGAACCCCAATCACCTGGATCCTAGGTTGATGCTCAACCGCTGAGCCACGCCCGGCCAGGCTGATTCAACCTTTTAAATGGCAGCCATACGTGCTCCTAGGGGACTCTCTCCTTCAGTACTCACAGACGGCTTGTGAAAGCAGTAAACTGTACTGCCATAGTGACTTTCTTGTTGGAAATCAGGTAAGAACATGCACTTACACTGACCACAATGTGGTTAGCTCTCAGTGCAGCCTTCTGATCCCAGTTCTACCCACTGAGTAATTACTTATCAGGCAACCCTTGCTTGAAATTCTGCCAAGTTTTTTCATTCTTCTAGTTCAATATGAACTTCTGAATTTAAGGTGCTATGTTATGTATCAGGGACTTTCAATCAAGTCTCACGAGACAGTAAGATGCCCAGTATTTAAAGGTAGTGCAGCAAAACAAAAGACTGGAAACTGCTTTTCTCAGCTGTCAATTCTGATCAAGTAAGAATCTGTCTTCAACAATCTCTCTCTCCTCATTTGCTCTTCATCCCCTCTAGTATCCACATTAGCCAAGTACGAAGTCCACAAGTGGCAAGTATTCAGATACTGCCACACATTAAATAGAAACATGTACACCAAATTTTACTGTGCGTATTAATAAATATTCTTTATTTAAATTTTGCACATTGCGCTTTAACATTACATCCAAACATTTTGCAAGTGGATGTCTACTTTGTAAAACCATATATTCAGCTCATTGTCATTTCTGTACAGAAGTATAAGTACAACATTACTTTTTGCCACTAAGTTGCTTTAGTAAGTCTCACAGGAAGAGAAACATTTAATGAAAAGAGATGGCTTAAATCATATGGCAGGCCTGTGCAGCCAGGCAACTAAAGACACAAGCCTGAAGAAAGAACAAACTAATGAGGTTACCTCCACCATCTCCCAAAACAAGAATCACATTGATTTAAGATAAAATTTTGCCGTAAGTCACTAAATTAAGAGGTTTTTTTGAAAGAGAAGGCGCAGTAGTCATCTTGAGTGTTTCATTGAAAGACAGAGCTATTTTATTTATTTAATTTGCTCCAGCCGTTGTCAACCAGCCACTACAAATGGGCCTCTTGTGATCATTTAAGCGGCAGTATTTATTAAACTTCTCCTTCAGATGCTGTCGGTATTGTTCTCTATTGCTGTAGAAAGACTGGTTATTAGCCATAAATGACTGTATTTCATCTTGTGAGATAAAGATTTCCTCATCTGAAGTACATTCAGACTCATCCTGCAAATTAAAGCAATAGTTAAGACTATGACTTAAATTAAGAATGCAAAATGCTATGCTGATGGAGGACAACTAAATATTAAAGCAGTCTAGGCTTTTTAGTTTCAATTCAGTAAAATAGAGCCTTGAGTTGGAATGTTTACAGAATAAGCATAATGTCATTGTCTTAAAAAGTACTAAATAAGAATAAAATCCAACTCAACTTGGTTTGAAACTCTGGATCTATCATTTGTCCTAGAAGCCTATATTAACCTAGCTGATACCAACATACCTTCTTTCTGCTTTAAAAAGTGACTAAATAGAGATGGTTAAAACTAGCTAATAATTTTAAATAACCAGACTTATCTCTAACTGATTCTAGGTTGAAACTTTTCTCTCTACAAATTAAGTAAAATGTAACCTTTTTATCTTTTAAGTTACACAGCAACACCATTTAACTTTATAACCATATAAAAAAGAAAAAACTAGTCTTCTAGAGAATTTGGTTCCATTAGGATCCTAATTACTATACAAAAGATACCACAGCCTTCTCCTTCCTTCCCTCCCTTCCAAGCCCCACACAAACTATGCACTGGATCACTTGGAATCAGGCATATATACTTCATCTCAAGTACCAGGAACTGGAATCAACTACAAAAAGTTTTCCAAGTTCAGCTCTGCTTTTATCCTACATGATGCCTAAAGGAAGCAGCCTAGAAAGTGGGCTCTACTTCAGATTCTGT